GCAAATAATTCAACCTTTGCCTAAACCTCACACCTTACACAAAGTTAGAGGACAGTCCCAAAATGGATCATACAAACAAGTATAAAATGTAAAACAATAAAGCTTCTAGAAGGAAAAACAGTAGAAAAAATAGGAGAAAAATCTTCATGACTTAGAGAAAAGGCAAGATGATTTTTAACATGATACCGAAGTATAATCTACAAAAAAAGACTTCAATTTCATCAAGATGAACAATGTTTGCTCTGTGAAAGGCATTATTAAGAGAATGAAAAATGCAAGCCACAGTCTGACAGGAAATATTTGCCGAATATATTTTTCTCAACAGTCTAGTATTCAGAATACAATGAACTCCCTAAACTCAACAGGAAGAAAAGAAACAATCCAATCAAAGAGTGGATAAAAACTCACACAGACACTTTACGTAACAAAGAGGCGATGTGGTAGGGAAAAAAGCATATAAAGAAGCACATGAACAGATGTTCAACATCATTAGCCATGAGGGAAATGCAACTTAAGGCCACAATGAAATACCATCCCACATGTATCAGAATGCCTAACATAAGAATACTGACAGTATCAAGTTTTGGCACGAATGCAGAGAAACTGAATCACTCATATATTGTTGATGAGTGAGTGGTCCAGTCATTCTGGAAAACAATGCAGCGGTTTCACATAAAGCTAAACATTCACTTACTTTATGACCCAGCAATCCACACCCCTGGGTATTTATACTTAAGAAATGAAAAACTTCTGTTCACACAAAAATCTGTACATGAATATTCATGGTGGCTCTGTTTGTGATGGCCAAAACCTGGAAACCACCCAAATGTTCTTCATTGGGTGAATGGTTAAACAGGCTTCAGTACATCCATCCAATCACATATTGTTTATAGATCTTCCACAATTCCCATGGAGTTAGGTCCCAATAAACCATCATAAGTTGAAGATAGTGTAGTAAGTCAAAAATGCGTTTCATAATCTAACCTACCAAGCATCGTAGCTTAGCCGAGCTTAGCTTAAATGTGCTAACATTTATATTAGCCTACAGCTACAGGGGAAAATCATCTAACACACTGTCTATTTTACACTAAAGGGTAGAGAATCTTGTAATTTACTGAGTACTGTGCTGAAAGTGAAGAGCAGAATGGTTGTGTGGGTACAGAATG